GTCTATTTTGCGTGCAAAGTGCATACGCTTCTCTTTCTCTCTCTCTCTCTCTCTCTCTCACTCAGGCACACGCACACGATTGCAGGCGGTCGCGCGCGAACGTATATATATATACATATACAAGTCGTCTCTCGTGTACCGCAGTGCTCGCAGACGTCGCCGAGTTTAGGTACAGAGCAGCAGCAGAAGCAGTAGCACGTAGATATAGCAGCAGCAGTGAGAGAGAGAGAGGGAGTGTGAGAGAGTAGCAGACATGTAGTCGCGACGTCGGAGGCTGCTGCTGCGGCTACGCGGCGCCTACCGACCACCATCTATAATCTCTATGCGGATATCGATTTTGCACCCCCACACTTGCTGCTGCTACTGCTTCATACGTACGTTATATGTGTGTGTGTGAGTGCGGGTAAGCGAGGAGTGAGAGAATACGGGTTCGTTCCGCGTGTAACTCCCCCCCCCTCCCCCTCCTCCACCGAGCGAGGCCCGAGAGCCCCCGACCCCTGTTACCCGCTATCGCTGTATTTCCTAAATTTATGCAAACTAGGGCTTTTGTGTGTGTAAGTGTGCGTGCGTGTGCATGTATATCGCGCTAACCATTCATCTCGAAGGCCTTGCCTTGCGCGCACGGCTTTGCTGCTATGTAGCTGATATAGCTGCTGCACTCGCGTACACAGACACACAGACCGACACACCGACACGGCACAGCGGAGGCTTTTGGACATGCGATACTATAACTACCTGTTTGGTACGACGTCGGATAATACCTTGTTACAATTGAATGCCGCCAGTCGTATGCCGCTGCTGCTATGTGTGCTCTCCACTACACGTGTCATGCGCCCATGTGCGTGCCAGTGAAAATGTAAGCCGGCCACCGGAGCTCATTGTGCAGCGGATTCCGAGGAAAAGGGCCCATTATTGCTTACAAGCGACTCTCTCTCTCTCTCTGGCCGATGCTAATGATTAATTTTTCAAACGCAGTCGGTCTGCCGAAGACGTTATTACCGATCGTTAAACTCGCGCGCCCCGGCAATTTCCAAAATTAACCGGCAGTCAACGCTCTATAGCGCCTTTTAAAACCCGCATACTCTCCCTCTCTCCCTCTCGGGGGATAATTCGTGAAATCGAATTTTACATCTCTGCGAGCTGCGAGCTGCCCAAATCAAATTACACCAACTTGTATATATAGAGCCCGCGTATACTAGCCACTTTTCCGACGTGGCTATACAATGTGTAAAAAAAAAAAAAAATATGAAATAAAAAAAACGGAAAAAATACAAGCCGAAGAAGCGCGCGCGGCCGATTGTGTCCGAACTTTTCGTTATATTTCGACTTTACGCGTATATAACTTTTTTAAAAAGCGAGCAAACACGTGTACAAATCCGAATCTCTACCGTGTATCCGTGTGTGCATGTATACACGGATAAAACGCAATTTAACAAACTCTCTTTCAACGAAAATATTTCACCTCCTCATCGTGCGCGGGGTAAAAACTTTTTCCCCAACAATACATATATAGCAGCAGAAAGAGAGAGAGAGAGGCGAACAAAATAAAAGTGAGAGATGGCATCCTTCTACGTATGTCCATTCTATATGTAACATCCGTGTGTCCTTTTTTACCCTCTCTCTCTCTCTCTCTTCCTCTGCCTCTATGCTGCAGTATTCTCTGTCTCTTGAAACGACTGTATACAACAGCAACAGCAGCAACGGCAGCGGCGGCAGCAATTCTGTATGTGTGCGCACAGCCTCGACGGAATTAAAGTAGTCGATATCATCCGCACGGCCTGTCTTGAAATTAAGGGAACGAGTCCTGCAAAATTTCGAGGCTATACTACTCGAGCCCCGATATATACTGCGCGGCACGTTTCCACTTTCCTGAGACAAATGCTGATTTTACTCTATAACTCGTTCCTTCCTATTTCTCCTCTTTTTTCCACTTTCTTCTTCTTTCTTTCTTTCTTTTTTTCCCCCTTTTTTCTATTTTTTTGTATAAGCTCTTCTTTTCTGTTTTTCTTTTTCTTGCCTTGCTCGATATCTTTCGCTCGTACTTGTGTACTACAGCTTTGTTTTAGGGCTCGTTTTTGGGGGCAGGTGGAGAAGCGTGGCTGAAATGAAGGCTTAACGAGACTCTATATACTTCCTTTAAGTGTGCTGTTACGCGTCAATTTGCCAAAATTTGCCGCTACTACGGACTTGCTTTCCTTCTTTTCAATATATTTCATAGAAAAATTAGCATAGGACATGTAATCGAGGTTACAAGCAATGAAATTATTCCGCAACGATTTTCATGCGCAATAGACTCGAGAAGGAAGAAAAAAGGAGAAAAGCAAACAAAGGTTAATTTTTTCAACAACGTTGCCAAAATTCCGCCGGGACAATTCCCGAATGCCTTGGAAATTTTCATACGGAGATAGAACCGATCTTATTTACTGTTTATATCGGATGCGCCGATCAAATGAATTGTGAAATTTCAAAGCGAGAGACTGCATGGGCCGCACACGCGTGCAATCATAAATATGAATCTAAAATTACCCAATTTTTTTGCACGTTGCAGTCTTTTTTGACACACTTTTAGGACGCAAAAGGGAGAGCGCAAACATTCGTGTCAAAGTCAAAAATTGATATTTCATTCGTCACTCGAGTCAATTACCGAGTCTCGAGGCTTTATGCGCGTCGCGCGATCCCCGTGGAGCAGAAAAAAAGTATCTCTAAACCAATCGTGCCACAAATCGAAAACTTTTGGAGCGTACCCCTCTTAACAATAGGCGCGCACGATATCGACGGAATATAAAAAAAAAAAAAAAAATTCCCAATGCAAAACCGGTTGAAGGTTTTTTTTTTATTTCAAAGCTCTTTTCTTCTCACGCTCTCGCGTCGCTTCCCCGAAAATCGCATGATCGAGCCTGCACCTCGGTGGCGTGCTTCGGTTCCGGATCGGATGCGACGATTGACAGATTTCATAGCCGGAAAAAAGCGTCGAACTGATGGAGCAGGGAAATCCGAAAATTACTCCGAGTACCTTTCTGAAGAGAGTCTGGTGGCATAGGCAGACTTTTTTTCTTTACCAAAGCCCAGGCATTGAAACAATTACCGTAACTCGATTTGATTCAACTCTCTTTGGCTCTCGTTTGATAGATTAGCCGTGATAAAATTTGAAAGTAGGTCATAAGAATTATTCTCTTTCCGATTCAGCAGCTCGTCGAAAGCAATAGCTGAGGGTGAGAGAGAGAATAAGGGAGAGGGAAAGAGAGAAAAGGAAGAAAAAAAAGATCGCACGTGGCTCGCACAAATCCCCCGCGTCTGCACGCGCGGAAGAATTGAAAAATTCAAAAGCTCTAACACCTTCCTTTTCTTCGTCATAAATTATCTTCCTAATCTCTAAATCATTGCTCGCTCGGCTACGAATATAAACGGTTTTCCGATAAAGCTCACCACCTCCGGCTGAGGCAGTTGTGCTGCCACCGACACCGACACCGACACAGACGCCGCCGCCGCCGCCACCGCCGTTGCTACACACGCGGTCTCTCCTCGCCCTTTTAGGGAAAAATCGAGCCGAGAGTGGAATCGGATACCTACGTGTGTACGCGTAACAAAAAAAAATCGAACCTTTTTAATGCAGGATTTTTTCGTCCAACTAAATACCGCATCAGCGTCGTATGTGGACTGGATATATGCAGCAGAAGGGATTAAAATATTGATCGAAAAGCCACCGACGACGAGAGCGTGAATGTGAATTGCGGGAGTTGAGAGATAGCACAGCAGCAGCAGTAGCAGCAGCAGCAGAGTAAAGCTTGTCTGCATGCCACAGCAGTAGCAGCAGCAACAGCAATAGCAGCAGTAGCGGAGAGGAGACGGAATGGAAAAATTGTAGCGCCGGAAACGGAAGTCAATGACTGCTGCTACTGCCTCGAGTTTTTTCTTCTCTTTTTTTGCAGATAGGCTGAAGAGAGAGAGAGATGGAAAGCGGGGAAGAGTTAGTTCTGAGAGGACGTAACGAGGGGCTGGACTTTTCAAGTGCTTGTATATGGTAATTTGGAAAAATCGTACAAGGTGGGATGCTTATTGGACAGAGCAAGGCTATTCATTATTTGAGTTATTATAACGGCACATACACATACGGCATACGGTATTATGTGCAAGTGCGCGTCTCGTGGCCCACGTGTAGTCCTATCGATTTTACGCATTACGAACCTATTGAAATTTCATACTCGTAGCGGTTTGATTTTCCGCGGATCTCGACCAATTATTCATTACCTTTTTTTCCTTTTTTTTTTCAATTCGAACAATATTCGCATCGCAAGCTACAAACATGTCAACGAAATTTCGCCTCGGGCTGCTTGGAAAATTATCCCGGAAAATCGCGATAAGCTAGAAACGCAAGCAAACGCATTGACACTTTATTATGCGCGCGGTCGGAGGTCGAAATTAAAAAAAAAAGCCCAGCGACTCTCGAATAGCGTGGAATTATCGCTGCGTTATAATTTCGAGTATAGAAATTGTATCAGCTGGTGCGTGTAAACTCGCCTGAGAGTCTGTGCGGCGCACGCACATTAAAGCTCGCACGACGCACGCATAGACACATACGAGCGAGCTGAGCGTACACACACGTACACGTATTCGTGTACCACATACATACACACGCGCGTATGTTGTCTACTTCGCGAGCGCACACGAGGCCGCCCGTCGACCGAAATAGCCCGTCCGACTCTCTATACATCGTCGACGGAACATAATTATATACTCGTTGAGAGAGCTGATATTTTCACGATTGTACACGCCAGCCCGTGCATTTATAATTTATTTTTCATCTCTTTTCGGGCCGATGGAAAAATTCACGCGCGGGGAAAGCTGCGCGTCGCGGAGATCGGCTCGCTCGTTTCGGGATCGATGGCTTTTCGATTGGGGCCTGGCCAATTAGCGCGAGTTATCCGCGCGCCACGAGCCAGCGGGGCTGCCAAATTGACGCGTGAAAAATCAACGTGAAAAATCTCGAAAGGGCCACCAACCTGTAATTCTTCTTTGCACTGGCGCTCCTCCTCGAGGCTCATCCGCTTCTCGTGCTTCTTGTAGTATCTCCTCTTGGCCGCCTGTAAGTTGAACCAAGTGTACGAGAAGGACTTCACGTATGGTAGAAGAGCCTCAATGAATGGATGGAACTCATCCTGAACAAAAACGAGAGAAATATTAAAAAAAAAAAAAGAAGGGAGAAGAAGATTTTTTTTCCTCCTGCCATTAACACATTTCTACTCATTTTTAAAGGGACAGAGAAAACTTGCTGAACAATGCCTTGCTTTTTTCGCTATTTCCCAAAAAGTGGAGAGAAAACGTTTAGTACCGGCTGCTCGTTTTTTTTCCTTCCTTTTTTTTTTCGTCGCAAGGGTAACGTACACGCGGCGGATGTATGCACGAGAGAGGCTAGCTAGCAGTGGTGGTAAAAATGACACTGAAATTAAAAAGCCGCGAGAGAACGAGAAAAATGATGGTGCCTGCACGAGAGCAAGAAGAAAAGATTTGTGAAAAATGTCCATTTTGACGATTGCCTTTCTTTTCTCTACTCTCGTGTATCCATATTTTGTATTATACACTCGGTATGATTGTGCACCAAGCTCGTTGTTGTGTCGCTTTCTCCTTTTTTTCTTTCGTTAAATAACGCGTTAATTGAGCATCACCGGTATAACGCGACTTTGACTACGGAGGCGAACGTAATATGTATAAAAGCTCGACTCTTTGTTTTGCCTCTTGCGTCGACTCGAGCTTCTGCTATATAATAAAAACAAACACGATAAAACTCGATCATATTTCTCGGTCGCGTCCACGAAATTTTCCTGCTTCGGCACGATGTACACGCGTTCGAGACATTTGACCGATTCTTGACTGACTGCCCAACTGGCAGCGAATACACGTAGACGCGCGGATTTTATGAATCACATTCGGGCGCGAGACGACACGCACAACACGTGCTCTCGAGCGTGTTGCCACCTTTATTTTCAAACTTTTCACAACAAACGCAATGCGTCCGTGCTCTCCTTTATTCTCAAGTGGCTCTTTTTTCGTATGGGCGAAAATTTAACGTGTGTAGCGCTGCGCAAAAGTAAGATATTACGTGATGGCACACACGATCGGAAAGTGTAGATGCGCGCGCCCGACGACCCCCTCGAAATAGCCGAGTCTGCAGCGGAGGCAGCAGCAGTCGTCGGAGGAGGGCTACTATTAGGCGCGCACCGTAGGATATTTCCGTATTCGAGTGATGCGTCGTCTTTGTACACACATACACACATACACATTCACACAGACGCAGCAGATACTGAATTACGGCGTGGTGGAGAGACAGTTTGCGCTAACTCGCGCAAAACGGTGACTTCTTTTTCAACCTGCATAATAATAATAATTTTCGAGTCCCGTGGAAACACGCAGAGAAAGAGAAATGCAAAAATTCGTGAAAAAGGGCAATAATTTTGCACATTACAAATCCTATCGATCGGAAGGATGTGTCAGGGGACATTGAAAACGGAAGCTCGGCTGGCTGGCCCTATACATATATATATCACATCGATAAAAGGCGCGCTAGTTTGTTTTTTCGTCGTAAAGATGGAAACGATTTTTATCAATGGTCAACGTCTTAGCAGCCGCGCGCACACATGCGCATCATAAACGTACACGGACGCGCTTAATTTTTTCTTTTTTTACTCTTTCCCTAACGACGATATATTTTCAACTTTTTCAATGACGTGCGTATCGTAAAATATATACGAATATTTATATGCAGTTGCTTGCTTGATTTATATACGCATTCAGGCGCGCGCATTTTCACTCGCGGATCAAGCAATATTCTTTGACCTTGAGGAAGTATAAATTCCTAAATTAGAATGAAAGCTCGACGATACAAAACTTTTTTTTTTACCAAACTCCAACAGGAAAATGCAATTCTTCATCACCCGTCCGACTACGAGTTGGGAAGAAAAAAAGAGATAGAGAGAGAGAGAGAGAAGAAATCTTAATTCACAATCGCTGACACGCCGCGCGTATAAGAGAAGAAGAAAAAAAGCTGCGAGAAAGAGACACGTAAATAAAGCGAGTGCCGCATGCGGTGAAGCTGCTGCTTCTTCTTCTTCTTCTTCTTCTGCCTCTGCACCTGAAGGGTTCCCTAAAGACGAAAATGCGCTCTTTCCTCTTCAGCGATGGTGAAAAGGCAGGGATTTTTTCTTCCTTCGCTCACGGTATGATAATAGGATATAACGTGTTAAAAATATTTGTGTGTTTTTTGTGCTTTTTTTTCTCTCTCTCTCTAACGAATAAAAGCGAGAACACACGTGAAAACTAACCATCGAGTAGGTGTGACTTTAGTGCAGCAGCGATTGGCAGCGGCAAACACAGCGAAATACTCTGTGAGCCTGTCGTCGTCGTCGTCGTGGTCGTTGTTGTTGTTGCTGTTGTTTTTTTGTCCACGTGTCAGAGCTTGAAGGCTCGACCCCAACTGACGTCTATCGGCCTCATTATTCGTTGCTCGCGCGCGCGAGTATGTCTGTGGGTGTATGTGTGTGTGTAGTGGCTCTGCTGCGGCAAAGTCACGCTTGACACTGCCTTTTATTTTCTTATTATTATGGATCTGAACGCGAAGACGATGCAGTTGGAGCTTATCTCTTCTGTATCACTTTGCTTGCGTAGTTCAAGCTCTCTCTTCTCGTGTATAGGCGAGGCAAGCTCAGTCTATATGTACTTATATTCTCCTCACTCGCACTTAGCACAGTTTCGACACAACAACAACAGCAAAAATATCACCAACACACAGTCGTTGAACTTGAACGGCCTGAAACCCGATAGGTGAGATTTGAATTTTTTTTTTTTTTCGTAACTCTCGTGATACGCTCGATTCGCGCGATCGCACACCCACGGCTACATTGAAAATCTCTATCTGTCTCTCTGGTCGCGCGCGCGCGTGCAGTTCCGCATCATCCGAAATCTCATCTCACGCCAGCGGGCATTTTTATACATACATAGATATGTATACGTAGATACGTACGGAACAAAAAGGTTTTTTGCGCGAACAAAAAAAGCCGCGGAGGGTCTCTTGATTTGTGAGTGGTTTTGGAGAATGGCGGGGTTGCTGGGCTTTTTTGCTCGCCGCCGCCGGCTGCTTGGAATTAATGGGTGACGCTTAGACTTTCTTCACTCGTTATCGTCAAGAATCGCGGCTACGCGAACACGCATACAAAAATTGCGACGATTGGTCCGAAAATAAGCGCGAGCGAGCAAGGAAAACACCATTATCATGGCTTCAGTCAGTCATGCGCGCGGGCTCGAAAATAAATAAGCAATTAAAATATCGCGCGCGCAGCGAAGCCTCGGACGTAAGCACTAAAAAATCGGGCATGTGCCCTCGAGACTCGAAGCTCATCATTATCGTTTGGCGCGTCGACCTTCGCTTTTTGCATTTCCTGCTCGTTTGCGCGCGCGATATATTTTGGAATGCTGCAACGCGACGAGTTAGAGCTCGGCTCTCGGAGAAATCGCAATTATTAGCCGCGATTAGAAGCGGAAAAGTTGCGAGCGGAGTTTTTCAAAATTTCCTTCTCGCGTTCAGGCGGGGGGGAGGAGAGAGGGAGATAAGCGATGTTTTTATCGGGCGCGCGCGAGAATAAACGAAGCGGCGGCGGCGGCGGCGGTGGCGCTCGAGGAAGGGGCTAAAAAATCTCACGAATTTATTTTGAAACGACGCGCGAGCGGGCGGACGGGCGGACGCGCGCGCGCGCAAGTAACACGTGCTTATTTTTACCGTCGAAAAAGTCAGCTGCGAAGCTCGCAGCTCGCAGCGTACACAAGCACACAATGTCAGATTCTCGTCTGCGAGTCGTCGCGAGTGTAAACAAAACGTCTCTCGGGGGGTAAGACGCATCTCTGCACCGAATGGCAGTTTAATCGGTGGGCGCGGGCTTACGTAAGTCACGCGTCGCATCGACCTTCTTTATGATAATATATACGTATATGTATTTGAGATTCGTTTCGCGGCGGTGTTTCTTGCCTTCGATGAGCGAGCGAGCTTTGCAAGGGATCATACGCGCAGCGAGAGCAGAGAAGCATCATCGTCGTCCGAGAGAGAAAGAGAGCGAGAGAGACGTCGACACGAACGTGTGTGCACGTTAACTTATAGTATTTTTAAACCGAAGCGCACCTATTTCTAGAGCGCATTTCATTTTAGATTGTTTTTAGAACATTCCAGATCGCAAAGACAGTATTTGACTCGAAGCTGCAAGCTCTCTTTCTCTCGGTGCTGCGAAGCGCACCTTTTTACTCGTGCGTCGCTCGCTGCTGCTGCGTGGCCCCTGTCGCGCGAGCGCCTGACTTACGTAATTTATTCGAAATTTATGTAATATATGTCCGGAAAAAGAGAGAAAAATAGATAATATATAAGGCTGGCTGCGAATATGCTGTCCACTGCGGCAGAGCGAGAGAGAGACTCGAGTTGCTATATACGCAGGTGAATGGATCGAATTCTAAAATAGAAGCTCACGCCGAGAGTTGAGATGGTCAAGTCGTGGGTATTTTTGTTTTGACACTTTTACACCGTATGCGGTCGCGTACATTGGCTTGCTCCGGCCAGTTGTCTCTCTCTATATTTTTATAACGAGAGCAGCAGTAGCAGCAGCAGCAACAGCCACAGCGCGAAGAAATTTGCGTCGTTATTGACGAAAAAGTCCGTTGAACTGGCGTACGGACGCACACAGCGAAGAGCAGCAGCAGAGGAGTAGCAGCAGCAGCAGCAGCTCGGGACGACGCGACGAGCTTCTCGTGCACGCGCGTCTTGGGCCAAAAATGCGCAACTATAAACGCAACTGTACATACGCGTTCATTCATATATAATCGCTCGCACGCACACTAGAGAGACAGAGAGAGACGTTTCCGCCGCAGTCGCACGAGTCGGCGGCTCACCCGCACCGAGCCAGCGTATCATAAAACTTGCTCGTATGTGTGTCTGGGGCTGCGTCGTGCGCGGCTATACGCGCGAAAAAGGGCGAAAAAGTGGCCCCGAACGAAACTTGCACTCCGCGCACTTATAAAACCGCACCGAGCTTTAGATCCCGTCCATTGCCATCTATAATGCATGCGATATTCGAAGGCGTCGCGACAACACTGAAGACGCCGGCAGCAGTCGAGACCAGGTACA